AGAGAGAAAGGGGGCCCCGGCGAGGATGTTTGCCTCGGGGCCCGTGCTGGCTCTCGACGTTCCTGCATACAATTAAGGACTGTTCCATTATAGGACTGATACGTTCTCCAACATTAACTACAAAGTCAAAACTAATCTTAATAATCTGAGAATCCTTCAACCTTCTGGTTTAAATCCACGTTTTTCCCGCAAACCTTACATGTCAAGCTATATAAATCTTGCATGTGTCTTCCTTCAGGAGCTTCAGTATCATGAACACGTGCAGTTAGCAGGTGTAAAAGCGTCTGTGCTGATGTACAATGGAAATTCAGAGGAGAGCTTAGATGAACTCCACCACTGACTATTCTACACAAAAGTGGCAGTTGGAACGACGTTTGTGTAGGTCACACACTCTTCCACTGACTTCAGCGGCAGCGAAATTTCATAGCCTAAGAGTATACTTACACGTGTAACAGTGGATGGGAAATGGTCTAGAGCCAACAGAATGTGCCTGGAAGATTGAGAACATCCTTGTGCCAGTCATGGCCGACTTGCCAGCAGACTTACTGCAATGACTTTTATAATAGAAAGTGCTGCAGAAAACATGGACTTCAGTGTTCACTGGGTTGTGGCGAGTGTCAGTTCTCGTTCCCTGTCTATCGGATACGACGTTCACTTTTGGACAAGTAGGATTTTTCACTGATTTACAAGTTCTGACTATGCACAAGGCTATACAATAATCTCTACATTGAACTTTGAATTTCTAGAACAAACAAGAATGTATCTCATTTTTTATTTGAAATTATCTTTCGAAGCTCTTTCAAACCTGGTCCTACATGGTGGCGTTGTACTTGTAACATCGTGGATGGTGAGTGTTGACAAATGACGTTATCAAAGTTAATATTACATAATCTTAGATCAATAAATTTATAATATTATCATTTCATTCCGTCTTTTCTTTGCTAATTTGTCAAGATCTTTCCAGTGAGACCAGGGATGGTGGTTTTGTTTACCTATGACGTCATCAAAATCAATATTTCGAGATTATGCAAATTCACAGAAAGTTAAAACTCCCGTCAAAGTTTGATGTGTTCATGCGAATTTAAAACAGCTATTTGTTTTGGGTCATGATACATTTTGGCATAGGCTACTAATACAGATTGAGGTGAAGGCTTAACGTTTCAGCACATTTCTGTGTACATTGAACATTTAATGATATATATCAGAATCGTTCCATTCATGATTAAAGAAAGACACATCAAAACATTTAGCATCTGTAAGTTGTCTAACAGATGAAGAAAATATACAGGGTGACGTTTCGAGCCAGATTCTTCGTCATATCGTAAAGCTTGGAACAAAAGTGCTTTCACAGAATTTGAAAATTTTGTGCGCGGCGTTTTAAACGTTACAAAATGTTTTGATAATTATATCTTTTATATGAATATTATACAAGTTATAAATAAAATAAAAATAAAATATTTTATTAAAAAAATAATGGAAGTAAAGAGTGAAAAGGATAATAATATACTGATAATAAGATAATAATATACAGGTTAAAAATACAATTGAAAATATTACGGAAACAATGAAATTATATAAGAATTCACTGATTAACCTCTCTCTCTCTCATTATCAACATCTTCTTCAAAGCAATGAGTGGAGCAGCTCGGACTTGGTGCCAAACTTGAGCTGGAACCTGTATCATAACGAGAACTTTCATGTGATGTCCAGTGTATGGTGAAGAACCTTGTTGAGGTCAGGGAAGATATAGAATCAGCCTCTGCTTTGTACGACAGAGTATTGCAGGGTGAGCTGTCACTAACATCTCTCAATAACAACGATTATTTTGCCAAAATTA